GTCTGCCAGCATTCATTTTAGCTGTGCCCTGTGTGTGTAGTCTAATCACTCCCCTGCCACTTGTACCACACTATCACACTTGCTTTCCTTAAACTTGGATAGCTTCTTTCTGATGCATCAAAATACAATCACAAATATTAGTACAATCTTATGCCATCTAAATATGCACTTGNACAGGCCAACTACGCGGGCCCTGGTGGTGGCACGATTTTAGGTGCGTCACGTTTTACACCACTCTTTTTCTTCTATGGATTTTTGATCAATTACAATTAATTTCTCCTATGAATTTCTTGATATGTTAACAGTTAATTGGTAGCCATCTAAACACTGTAGGCAACAACATAAATATAACTGAAGTTCAAGCGCTGATACTGTTGTCTGGTTATAAATAATAAGTTCTTCATATACATAAACCGAAGTAGTGACAAGAGGTTGGAGAAAACTGCATAATGAGGAGCTTTGTAACTTGTACTCTTCTTCAAATATAATTAGAATGACCAAGTCAAGGAGGATGAGATGGGCATGGCGTGTAGCACGAATGGGGAAAAAGAAGACTGCATGTAGGATATTGGTAGGAAAGAGACCACTGGGAAGACCAAGACGTAGGTGGGTGAAAAATGTTAAAATGGGTCTTAGAGAGATAGGATGGGATGGTATGGATTGGATTGGTATGCCTCAGGATAGGGACCAGTGGAGGGCTCTTGTGAAGACGCTAATGAACCTTCAGGTTCTATAAAATATTGGGAAGTTCCTGAGTAGCTGCAGAATTGGCAGTTTCTGAAGAAGGGCTCAGCTCAGTGGCATGTGGTACTATTTTTTGTAAGGGAAGCAGTGGTATATAATAAACGAACCAATAGCAATCAACTCACCAAAATTTATTTGAAGACCAAATCTGTTCTCCATTTTGTATTCTGTTCAATAAACCTGTAAATACTGTACTGTTCTCAAGGTGAACATTGAGTTTATGAGCATATTTCCTCAACAAGCGAACTAATTCCACATAATTACCTCGGTCGATAGAATCCATGCTTTCGTCATGACCACGGAGGGCAAGTTGCCTCTTTCCTAAATTGTAGATGATATCAAACTAGTGTTTCATTATTTCTCTATTTTCTTTCACATTTTCATTATGCTGTAGTATCGTCAGGCACTTTTGATTGTCAAGTTGACAGTCAATT